CTAGACACCATAAAGCTCCACAAATGACAGGTGTACGCGCGCGCTTTTCGACTACTGTGCTACATTTCCCTTATTAATAAAAACTCTCGTAGCTGCAAAATTTCATGCCAAGAGTTTGTAAAAACTATCACAATTATTTACCTTTCGAACACATATGAGATACATATGAGATTGTACACACATGTGACTGGGACTTGTATCAGCACCTAATTAGATGTTCTAATTGGGACTCGTACTTTTCGAACCAGTCCTTAGATGCAATTCTTAACAACTTCTATCAGAATATTAACTCAATTCACGACGTCATTGCACCCGAGAAGATTCTTAACTTCAGATTCCCCCAAAGTGATTATATTCCGACATCGTTTAGAAGAAGTCTACGTAAGCACTCAATAAAATACTACAGATATCATGACTTATCGTCATTAATTGCCATAACGTCCCTTCTCAGTAGAATTGAAGAGTTGAGAAATATAGGCCTCAGAAACAAAGAAATGCAGGCCATTCATGCACCGCATAACTCAGGAGAAATAGCCAAACTTTTTAAAAGTAGGTTGATGAACTCCAAAACACCCTATCCGAAAATAATATACTTAGACGGCATTGCTTACGAAAATAATGAGGCGATATGTGAACTGTTTAGCAAGCACTTCGCCAGATTATACACCTTAGAGAACGATGAAGTCGTGGATTTCCCACGTAAAACAGACGAATGTTTAAGTGACATAATTTTCACCACACATGAGATCGATAAAGCTGTCGCAAATCTTAAGCTTAGTAACACTACTGGCCCAGACGGTATATCTTCCGTTCTGCTGAAAAAAGGTGGTAATGACATGAGTTTACTCTTACTCAAGTTATACTCAATTTCATTAAGCGATGGGACATACCCTAACTGCTGGAAGAAGTCTTATATTGTACCTATCCATAAATACGGGCCTATAGCTGATATCAACAACTACCGCCCCATCAACATCACGTCTGTAGTTTCACGTGTAATGGAAAAGATAGTTAAGACTCAAATCATTCAGTACTTGCTGTCAAATGACCTACTATCCCCATCCCAATACGGTTTCTTAAGTAGAAGGTCGTGCATTACTTGCCACTTAGATTATTTTGACTACATCACACAAAGCATTGATAATGGGCGTTCGGTAACAACATTGTTTCTTGACGTTAGCAAGGCCTTCGATAAAGTCCCACATATCAGACTCCTAACAAAACTCCAATCCTACGGAATAACCGGAAATCTTCACAAATGGATAAGTTCTTTTCTCACAGAAAGAGAGCAATTAGTCAAAATCAACCACCAGTTGTCTTCCTCAAAGCCGATAACCAGTGGTGTAATACAAGGTAGTGTTCTTGGCCCTATTCTATTCCTCTTATTTATAAATGACATAGTCTCTGTAATCAAGTATGGCAAGCCATACCTTTTTGCAGATGATCTCAAGATAGTATATGATTATGGGTACGGTGATATGAGCGTCGAAAGCAAGATCCAACAAGACTTAAATGATCTAGGCGATTGGAGCGAAAAGTGGCAACTGACTTTCAACCCAGACAAGTGCGGTATAACCCACCTTGGACGCTGGAAACCGATAATGTGCCTATATATGTACGGTAAGCTCCTCTCAAAACTGAACACAGTCACAGATCTCGGGATAACATACTCAGATTTATCCTTTTCCGATCATGCAAATAAGGTTGTATCTGACTGTAAACGACTTACTGGCTTTGTACTGCGTAACTTCTACACCCAAGAAGCAAGATTAGCTATATATAGGACATGTATCCGTCCCAAACTTGAATATTGTGCTCTCCTATTTAGTAACCTCAGGACTGTAGACAGAAAAAAAATCGAAAGTGTCCAGAGATTCCTCACGAAACGCATAATAGGGTTCGACCAACAAGTGGAATATGTTGACAGGTGTGTACGTCTGAAATTAGAGCCTCTGTGGTTAAGGAGAGTGAAGTGCAACCTATTTCTACTCTTCAAAGTCATTAGGAAACACTGCTACAGTAACTCATCCATAACTTGGGAAAATATTAAATCATATCAGCTGCGAAACCACGACTACCTTGTCAAGGTGGCTACCCACAGAAAATCCATTAGGGCAAACTTTTTCACCATAAAATATTGCACTCTTTGGAACCAACTACCACCTGAAATAAGATGTTGTGAAAACCCTGATGGGTTCAAACGGAGCCTAGAAAGACACTTTAACATGTCCACCCTAGCTCGTCTAAAAGACCACAACTGTTGGTAGAACGGAAATTGAAGGCCAGTCCAGTCTTCAGTATAGTCACATACGTATATCTCGACTCTAATACTCACGCAGCGAACGTTAACTAATTTACTGATTTCTATTCTCTATAATTTTCACTAAGTTGTGTTGGTAAAAGTAACACTGGAAATAATTGTAATAGCATCCACACCTTTTAACGTTTTACATATGTATATACTAATATAATAATACTTATTAATCATGCATGTTCAATTCTTAAATTAGATGGATATTAAAATACTTAAAATGATTAAAATATTTATGCATCAAATGTTCTCTTGCTTTACCACGCTTGTTTCCCTTATAACACTCAATTATTGAACCTAGTGTAATATTTGATATACGAACTATATTATTGATTATACTCTTATCATATATGGTTTGATTTACTCTACGGCTCCCTGTAGACTAACCACCATTCTTCAGTATACACACACTGCAGTATTGTTAAACAAATGCCAAAATTTCGTTGGTTCTGTGTTAATATCTTTTTATAATATGTCTAGACACGTTACTTTGCAATGTCAGATGTTTACTATATATAAGTACTCTAAGTCCTGCCAACCGACCTTACCTTCAGTCCATACTACCTAAATTGAACCTTAACTATAGTATTCTGCTAAATCTTGCTCCACTATTCACAATACCTATTCGTTTTTGACTTCTTATAAAGTAATCTGTTCATCAGGATGCATGCACACATATATAATATGTTCGTAAAGATGTACGTGGAGACCTATTGGAAGCACTCATTAAGAAAGCTAGGGAGATGGAATATGGGGTACGAACATGTCTGGTACCAAGCAATATATTTGCGGTAGCCATAATAATCATAGTCTCAGAGCCTAACATCAAAAAAGGAGGGAGGGTGGTGCTAGCTGATCAGTAGATATGGTGGTGGTCACTAAGGTGAATCGCCCCATTCTGCAGGAACAGCAATACGCAATTTGAAGGCTCGAGATATTTCTGATTTTTATGAGGGCTTAGATCTTTATCTTGAAAAAGATAATAATGAACGCCTTGACAGATCATGCTTCTACCTTTAAATATATACCATTCGCTCAGCCTATTGTTGAGATGCGACCACGTGGGATCTGCACAGATTTATGGGGCATCTTATAAATTAACTTGCTATCCATTGTCAGATCTTTAAATACCACTTCACAATATCTTGTCTCACTTATTTTCTAATAACGTCTTTACTTGATCCTCATTATATTCCATTAAACCTAACATTTTATAGCTCTTTATGAATTTGATTCGACTTATTCTATTCCTATTCTCTGGAGGGTACGGTTGTGCACCAAATAGACAAAAAGACATGAAATAAAAACAACTGGCTTGAAAATAATTGTATTAAAGCCAAAAGTGGACATCATGATAGTACAAAATATATTGGTTTCATTATACATTGCAAATGAACGTTGTCGGCCTAAGGATTAATTACTTCCCCATTCTGTTTTCTATATAAATGTGTTTATTAATGATATATTTCACTCACTTAATCTATTACACTTTAATGATTCACCTAAGCACTTTAACTTTTCTAAAACAGCTTCCAATCCCTTGTAAACGTTGTACTTACCTCAATATTGGTTGGTTATCGTATGCCTACAACCACGGGATGAAAACGAAACGAAGTCGATTTTCCCGCTCAACCTGGAGGACAACTGTACAATTCAATAACTATACGGCCTGGTTCAGACAATGAATGTAATTATATATATATATATATCAAATATTTAACTGTTGAAACATTATTAACTTGTAGACAATTTAAGATTTGACATTATATCATACTTGATCGTGCCTGTAAAAATGGCATGCATTTTCATGTAAATTTATGTTTATATGAAAATAAAAAAATTATAAATTAAAATTACTAAATCCAAGGATACAATCTTATTGACAGATAATACATATAACTAACTATTTGGATTTGTGGAACTTTTAAACATAAACACATCTATAATTGTATATATTGTTGGATTTACATGTTCAAGTTGCTCCAAGTCAGTGAGTTTATGGTTGAGATATCATTTTGGTTAACTGTGCTGATCTATATTGCATGTTGTCATATTGTATCGTTGTTGTCGCTTTTCGCCCTTTTTGCTGTGAACTGTTTTCCTTTTGCTGGTGTTGTTCTCATTGTTTTGTTCGTTATTTTCCGATTTTGAGGGGAGCAACCCAAAAAGTCGCTTCTCTCTAAACTTTATCTTAATGTAACCATTCCTTTCTCAGACGTGAGGCTAGCAACCCCACCCTGTAAACAAAATTGCTAAAAAAACTTCAGCACAATAAACCTCTTTGCACCAAAAGAAAAAGTCTGTGTGGGGACATAGAACGTCCGCACTCTGTACGAGACCGACAAAGCTGCCCAGATCGCCAACGAGATGAAAAGATACGAATCCAAGTACTGGAAATATGTGAAAGCAGATGGAATGGGAGTGGACTCACTAAATTGTCAATGGGTGAGTCAGTGATCTACTCCAGTCACCCGGAAGATAACCACACGCACACCGAGGGCGTGGCTATCATGATGTCACCAACGGTAACGAAAGCCCTGATGCAATGGGAGGCGATTTCGTCCAGGATAATGACCGTCAGATTCAACTCCAAAGAAAGGAAAATGTCAATCATACAATGTTATGCACACATAAACAACGCAGGCCTCGAAAAGAAAGAAGAATTCCACAGACAATTACAGGCAACAATGGACAATACTCCAGCTGGCGACATGAAAATACTAATGGGAGACATAAACGCCAAACTGGGACCAGATAACACAGGAAGGGAACTCATCATAAGTAGAGAAGCTCTTTGAGAAATGAAAGAAAACGGAGAACTCTTCGCCGACTTCTGCACCTTCAACGAACTAGTGATTGGTGGCAGTGTATACAAGCACAAAGATATCCACAAGGCTACATGGGTGTCACCAGACGGGCAAACCAAAAACCAAATCGACTTCATCTCAATGCTGCTCAAGGAAGTGGAGGCGCAGCCTACTGGACACAAAAGCAAGAAGAGGAGAAGACGTTGGCTCAGACCACTATCTCGTACAAGGGACAATCCAAATCAAACTAAAAGCTTTCAGGGAATCAGGAGCTGCAGATAGACCACAAGCCAAGTTCAACACTCAAAAGCTGAAGGACCAGGCTACAAAGGACATCTTCATTGCAAGCATAAAGGACAAAGCCGAGACACAAATCAACACCAGCGAAAAGGTCAGCGTCGAAAAGCACTGGAACAACTTGAAAACGGTGTGGAGTCAAACCTGCATAGAAGTTCTAGGCAGAAAAAAGAGACAGGACAAACAGTGGCTCACTACAGATACTTGGAAACTAATAGAACAGAGAAGGACAGTGAAACAAAAGATTATCCAGCGCACTGACGAGCAACAAAAACAGGAGTTGAATGCAAGCTACAATACACTGAACAAAGGAGTGAAGAAGAGTGCCAGGGAAGACAAAAGAAAATATTATGAAGCCATGTCAAGTGAAGCGGAAAAAGCTGCAGGAAAAGGAGACCTCACCACATTATACCAAACAGCTAGGCACCTACCGGGCAAAACTCCTACAAAAATTAGGCAAATAAAGGACGACAATGAAAGTCAATCACCAAAGAGGTGGAACAGAGAAAACACTGGGCTGAACACTTCAAAAGACTTCTAAATCGTCCGCCACCTACAACGCGCCCAACAATACCAACAACGGAAGCAGAACTACCAGTGAACATTGACCCCCGACGAAATCAGAAGTCCTGAATGCAATCAAGATGCTAAAAGCTGGAAAAGCAGCAGGACCAGATGGAATCCCAGCAGAAGCTTTGAAAATAGACCCAGAGACAACAGCGGACTTGAAGACGCCAGTGCTGGAGGTGTGGAAAAAGGGCAAAGTACCTGAGGATTGGAAGAACGGATACTTAGTCAAACTACCAAAGAATGGAGATTTAAGTTAATGTAAAAATTGGCGTCGAATTATGCTCCTGCCCATTCCAAGAAGATACTAAGTCACATCACCCTGGAGAGGATCGAACACGCTCTCTATGTAGTTTAAGATTGAACGATCAATTCATGGTCGTTTGCTCAAAACCGACTTCCCCAATTTTCGCAGAGGCATCAATTAGCCGGTCATCGTCTCATCGGTCGCTGTTCAGAAAGAAGTCAGGAAACAACAGTCAGAAGTAATATTGTGATTTATTAATGTAATATTTGTTCATAGATCTTAGTTTTAAAGTTGGTTATATGTTGGTGTTACAATAAAGAATTCTCGAGTCGCCAATCGGTGTTTTGGTTTTTGCGTCCGTTATTACTAAGCGTTTCTGAGAAACTTCAAGGAACAGCGTGAGTCCCAGCGTAGCAAGAGCTAGGCATTGACGGTTTACCAGACGTGGCTGACACAAGCATTAGATGAAAAACTTCGACCGGAACAGAATGGATTCAGGAGAAACAAATCATGTATTGATCAAGTCGCCACTCTACGGATCATCATTGAACAAAGCTTGGAATGGCAGTCACCTCTCTACCTCACTCAACTTCATCGACTTTGAAAAGGCCTTCGACAGAGTTGATCGAGAGGTGATTTGGAAACTACTTCGTTACTACGGGGTCCCATCGAAAATTATACATCTCATCCAACAGTTATACGACAATGCTGCACGCCAAGTAATCCCCAACGGGAAACTTACGGAAGCCTTTGAAGTGAGGACGGGAGTGGGGCAAGGCAGTCTACTATCGTCAATGATCTTCCTGATTGCAGTAGATTGGATAATGCGACAGACAACGGGAAATGAGGAAACAGGCATAAAATGGACCCACACAAAAACTTGGAGGTTCTGGACTTCGCGGATGATATTTGTCTGATTTCACACAAACTGGAAGATATCCAAGTAAAAAGCAACAAGCTGGCAGAAGAAGCATCAAAGATAAGACTTCACTTCAGGTGAACTTGGATGAAACAGAGGTGATGAAGATTCCTAGCCAACATCAACAGCAACAACAACAGACAACAATTAGCATAAATTGGAGAAATCTGAAAGAAACAACCTCCTCTACCTACCTGGGAAGCATCGTTTCAACTACAGACGGACGGAGCTGACGAGGATATCAAAGCCAGAATCGGAAAAGCAAGACAAGCCTTCATTACTCTCAAGTCTGTGTGGTGATCGACAGGACTGACTCAGCATCAAAAATAAGATCCGGGTTTTCAATTCCAATGTGAAGTCGGTGCTACTTACTAAGCGTACGGAACAGAGACTTGGCGCGTCATAAAGCGCATCTCAAACAAACTTCAGACCTTCATTAACAGTTGTCTTCGCTCAATACTCAAGATCAGATGACCGGCCAGAAGAGATCAGTAACAGGCAGGGATCTCCGGGAGCGAACCAACCAGGAACCGATTGTGAAACAAATAGGCGGGAAGAAATGGAGATGGACTGGCCATACTGTGAGGAAACCATCAAGTGACATCACTAGACAAGCCATAGCTAGAGTGGAACCCGAAAGGGAAGCGGGCGGCGAGTTGGCTGTCAGTGCAAGGGTGACTTGGAGGAGGTCATGCGAGGAGGAGATGAAAGCCTGTGGACAGACCTGGAGCGGGGTGAAAAAGTTGTCAGAAAACCGAAGTTAATTGAGACGCGCAGCTGAAGCCCTATGTTCCTCTATGTATTAAAGTTTATGACAATAATAGTAGGTGAAAATTATTCATGCCTGTACAACTTTTGTGTCCTACATAATTAGGAACATATATCAATAAGAAAAATTTTGTATTATCTGAGTACTGATAATAACGATTAACAGTCATGTATTGAAAGATATAAAGTCAGACTTTCCTTTAACAGTACTTCCGTCAGATAAAATCTTTTGTTCCAAGTGGTAAGAAAGGGTACCAGAAAATTCTGGGTTGCAGATTTCACGAGTAAATACTATGCAATATTCCAGGTAACAGGATATAATACTTGCTAAATATGGATATGTGGATATTGTGGGAAACACTGCTAATTTCCTAAAGAATTCGGAAGGATGTTCCATGTAGAAGCAGAACACCCATAGCAAAATAGTCAGCTCACCAGCACCTCAGCTCCTTTGGAAGAATTCCATCTCCCCCGCCAGCTTCCTGGCTTTCATTATTTTCTTAGCATTCCAAATTTCTGCTTTAGTTGGAGGTGGGTGTTCGTTGACAGTTCTTCGACTGCTGGTAGCATTTTTGAACTAGGTTTGGGTGATGGAGGGTTCTTGAGTCCTTCGAAGTTCTCAGTTCACTGTTTCCTTCGCTTCACCTCTTCAGTAATTTGCCTACCTTAACTGTCATTAATTTTATCTGTGTTTGTCTCCTCCCAGGTAGCAACCTGGTTACCTGGTATGGTTACTGGAGGTTCTTCTTAAGTGCACACACTCACTCCTCAGTCTCTAGTGTGTCGTAGGACTGCCTTCGATTTTTCTCCTCACTCGTCGTCACCTCTTTGCCGTGTGCGTTATACGCTGCACTCTGCTTTCCATTTCGCTGTCCCTCTTAGCACTGATTTATTTATCTTGCCGTCCCTCTTCTCTAATAAGCTCCAGGTATCTTTGAAGAGCCATTCCTTGCTCTGCATCTTTTTTCTCCTAAGATGACTATGCAAGTTTAATTCAATATTCATACGTGAGAGTCCCAGGGTTAATCCTTACAGTTTTTCTCGACGAGGCTACACAGTATCTTCGACTTTTCCTTGATGCCCGTTGTGAGTTTACTGTTTATAGTATGTTCCTTCTGTTCCTTGACACATGATTTGATTTTCAGCTTCTTATGAGGTTTTGAAATCGGTCTTCAAGTCTGCTTTCACAAGTGTATCTAGCCTATATCTTCCTATTGATTGTATGTTCAGCAGGTTACGTTTTCGGCTTATGAAGTTTGCTAGTACTCAATAACAAAACTTAGTGCGTTGCCTCAGAAAGTTCAAATGGGCTTTGTTTTACGAATGGCGAGTATTTCACTGAAGTAAAAAATATTCTATGGCTCAAAAACATTTTGTGTACTCAGTGAAAAGAATGAGATGGTAGTTAATATAAAATGATAATGAGACTATTTTTGAACAAATGAAAAGAGACCACTGACTTTGGTTGACAATCTTCTAGGCAAGGGTCAATCATCCTCACCATCTCGTATGCTGTCACGTTACTTTCGATAGTTCGTGTACGACTCATGGCTAGCCAGGGAATCGTCATCGCTCTCTGTTTCTGATCCCGAAATATGTCTCCTATTTTGGATGGTAAGTTTGTGGCTTAAGTTTGTCTTTGGTTCGAGTGGGACAATTAATTGAGAAAATAAAGGATAAACACTTGCATTCATATAAAATGTATCTTGCGTAAGTGCTGACATCCACAGACAATCAAAGTCTAAAACAAAGCCTTGGGTGTCAGCAAAACTTAAAGCTGCACCCGACATAGAGACCTATGGAAACTTAGTGGTTTCTGGAGAAAAATGCATCCTCTATGGGCACAAATAAATCAGAACACCTTGTCTCTTTAATTAGCAATAATCAAAAATAGCATCAGTTTTTGATTACAGCTTGATTCCACACCGTATTTTTGGTAAAATTATGGAATTTTCAGCATGTGGTATTGGTAGCCCAAATTTTGCAGGCTGACCATAGATATCAGGTGTGCTTCGGCAGGGGATCGAATCCTGAACCATGTGCATGGTCGGCGAGAGTCCTAACCACTGTGAAAATTCGACAACATGGACCTGAATATTACAACATCTGCCTGAACCTCTAAATGCTCACGGCGTAAAGGAAGTTTTCTGTACTGCTTACAGAGCAATCTACCGGTACAGAAGAAAACCCTATAATCACCTTGAAAATAAACACTAAGGACAAAACGGTGAAAAAAAGAAATATTTCGAACATATGAATATACACCAGTAATCACAGAAACTCAATCCCATTGAATATGTGACAGCCGCTCTATTTCTTGTACAAGTTTAAAAAATTAAGCAACGTCAGCTAACGTAATGGTTTCTTTTCAAGACTTAAGAGTATGGGCAGAAAAACACAATATGTATATGGTAAGGACATTTAAAATTGCTCAATACGCTTGCAGGACTTCAAGGGTCAAAAGATGGCCGAAAGATTAATGAATATAATCATGTTTGTATTTTTGGTTGGTTTCTTATTTCCTCATTCTAAATAAATAAATAATTTTCATAGGTCATTGCATTTCCTGTTGGGTACTATAAACAACAAATGTCAGTCAGTGTCTTCCTTGTACTC